GTTAAGAGTAAGATACACTCATTCCCTCTCACCTTCCCCCACTTCCTCTCCACTGCAAAAGGTTTTTCTTGTCTGTTTTACCTCTCCCTTTCTCCTTCTCTCATTATAATCCTTTCTCACCCCTCAATTTTATTTTTTAGATATCATCCCTTCATCTTCAACTCACCCTGTGCCCTCTATCTATCTATCTATCTATCTATCTCTCTATCTATCTATCTATCTATCTAATTTTTCCCCCTCCAACTACTCTAATACTGACAAAGGTCTCATGAGCTACAAATATCATCTTTTCATGTAGGAATATAAACAGTTCAACTTTAACAAGTCCCTTATGATTTCTCTTTTCTGTTTACCTTTTCCTGCTTCTCTTGAATTTTGTATTTGAAAGTCAAATTTTCTATTCAGCTCTGGTCTTTTCATCAAGAATGCTCGAAAGTCCTCTATTTCACTGAACATCTGACCTCTTTCATTACTCAAACTCCCTCCAAATTACCCACAAGATTTCCTTCTCCATATCCAGCCAAAGCACTTCTCTTTTCTCCAGTTCTTCTCCCAGAGAGCAAAAACAGAATGACTTTCCAAGGACTTTTTTTTTCTGACTATAGTAACTAAGGAAGGTCATATACTAAGGGATAGAGGGTTCACAGGATTAGAGACTATTGGAAGGGACCTTGGAGGTCATCTAGTTTAGTGATGTCAAACTCAAATAGGAATGGATCCCTGCCAGTGGGCTACATATGAACTTAAACCCCTCACAAATTAGCTTTTTAATAATTTATAAACATAATAATTTTATATTATCTTATAGTTATATATATTTATTACACATTATATTTATAATTTTGTGTTATATATACAAATAGTAAATTTGTAAATATAAAGATAAAATTTTATAATTTAATGATAGATTAATTATTATAATTTTAAACCATTATTAATTATAATTAAATTACTATCTATTATATTGTATTTTTGTTTATTTTATTAAACATTTCTCAATTACATTTTAATCTGGTCATGGCAACTCTTGGCAGTTTTCCCCATGTAGCCTGTGGGCCTGATGCCCATGATCTAGTCCAACATCCTCCTTTTATAGGTAAGTAAACAGCAACTTGAAGAGGTTAAATGACTTGCCAAATGAATCCGCTTAGTAAGTGACAGAGCTGGAACAAGGTCTTTAGAGTCTAAATCCAATGTTCCTTCCCCTATGCTTCTGTGATCTGCCTCAGTGGAGGCATGGTACACACATTAATGAAGTCCCTGACCACTCTAGTGGGCCTCTCATAGGAGGATCTGTAGGGAGACAAAGCCAAAGGAGTTCTGATGATGGTTTTTTAAGTGCTCTGGTCCCTGAATAGCAAGAGCTGGCTCTGTACCCCTGGTGATGACTGCATATTGGAAAGAAAACTATGAGAATATCAAGAACTAATTGAATATTTTTTTAAACCAATCCCAGTGATTAAAGCTGTACAAGAGGTGTTTTTCTCTTTGCAAAATCTCATCTTCAGTACATGTTGTAGCACTGTCAATTATCTATGAACCATACTTTAAGCTTCCAGTTCTTGTGAAATAACAAACATCATTTTCCCTGGAAACCTATTTAAAAATATTTCTAATAAGAGCTGGATACATTATGCTGATATAATATGTTGGTTTAAGTCACAGGAGAAATTCTTATACTGCCCACAATAACCATTTGCCATATAATAATCATTTAGGGGACCTGTTTAAAAGTCTGAATTTTAAACAACATTGTTAAGTGAGGAAAAAAAAACCCCTCACCTACATCTTAATCTCAATTTACTCTTTAATAAAGCTAAAAAGTACTACCACTTTCCCTAGGAAGGTCTCTCTCATTGGTCTTTGAGAATTACTTTGACTAAGCTCACAGAGAGGTAGCTTACTCTAGTCCCATTTTTTTGCAAAGTGACATACTGGAATCAGCCAGTCAAGGTTGCCTGTTGCTTTTAAAGGAAGTAAGCTTAAAAGCATGGCTTCAAGAAATACATTAATCAAACCCAATTTGAAATTTAAATTTCAACTAAAGTAATTAGTAGCAGATATACGTGGGGAGAAGAAAACATAGAGTATGTGTAGCTGGGAAAGGGGAAGCTGAAATCAGACTGTTCCATTTAGCTTCTCATAAAAGGAGAAAGGTAAAAAAGTAGACCCTCACAGCTGGAACAGCTGGAGTAACCTTCTGGTATATGGTGACTTAGCCTGTCCTTGAGGTTTGTCCTTCGTTCTCAAAGAGGATCATGACATCAGGAAGATGATGACATAACATGCAAATGAATTGGATCTGAGTGAAAGGGAGGGCTGTACAAAGTCACCAGCCTCAGTTTCTCCTCCAGAGCCATCTGGATCCAGTGGTCAGATATAGATCAGGACAACTGGAGATGGTGCAGGATGCAGTGGGAGACCTTGGCCTTTTTAAGCTAAGGTCTTTAGGAGTTCTTACTTTGAGTGAGGCAAAGCCCATTCAGTGATCAGGCCCGTTTAAGAAATGAGTCAACGGATCACCCCTTTAATAGAAAAAAAATCAAACTGGGAAAGACTCTCAGGGTTGCTGGACAATAAGGAAACAATTACAGTTTACATTCATTCTAAGCCAGGAGTGCCCAAAAAATAACCATTAAGTGAAGCTTGGGCAGGGACCTATTGTTCAATCAGTGAGAGCCAGAGTGAATTGGGTTTAAGGCTTGGTCTCTAAGAAAGAAATCTGGCTAGTAAATCCTGTAGGTTTCAGCCATCAAAATTTACTTTCCTTTGGGCAGAACTCCCTCAGGCATGATGCCCCATGTGGGGAGAGGAGAGAAGAAGAAAGGATGGGGAGGAGAGGAGAGGTTAAGAAAGACAGAAGGAAGAAAACAGATAATGTTTTCAACGTAATTAACCAACATTAAATGATACTTATGATCCAATAAAATGTAGTACTTTCTAGACATCTAGGAATGGAAGTAAAAATGAGTTTAGAACAGATTTTGTCAATTTTTCTGAAAGAGGTCAAATGTAGTTGATGGTGTCAAAGCTTAAGCTAAGCGGAAACATGTTTAAATGTTAACTAAGTCAGAGTTAGATGACGTATCAGCTAAGGAAGCATGACCCATTATCATTCTCTGAAGGGCTACACTTAAGGGACTAGATTTTGGAGCTGTGAATTGGTTTGGCAACCGTGGAAAGCAATTTGAAACTGCCCAGAAACTTATCAAACTGCGCATATCCTTTGACCCAACTATATAGGCCCATATCCCAAAGAAACCAAAGGAAAAGGAAAAGGATTTATATGGAAAAAAATATTTTTATAACAGCAATTTTTGTGGTCATCAAAAATTGGAAACTAAATACTAAAAGACTTTGTAACTGATTAACACAATGAGAAATCACAAATCCAAAAAAAAAAAGATGAAACATGACATTCATTTCTTGCCAGGGAGATGCAAAAAGAGATACACATTTTTGGACATGGCTCATGTAGGAATTTGGTTTGCTAGACTATGTTGCTATATATTGATGGATGTTTTTAAACATGCTTAATGGTAAAATGGCATTGTGAAGGACAAATTAAAAAAAAAACTTGTCATTTGAAAAAGGAAAAAATGTATATACACCATCAGATCCAAAACTGCAAGCAATACTTGATATAGAATACTTCATACAGGTGGCATTAGATTATTAACTTAATTATTAAGTAATTAAGAAAGGGAAAATCATATTGAGAGGGAGAGGAAACGCAAAAACTGCAAAACCTTTACTCTAAAATGTAGTTCCGAGAATCTATATCAACGTATATGAGTAGTCATGTAGTACTGAATAATTTGATATACATTGCCTCCTCTACTCACGTGTAAACTTTAAGAACGAAATCTTTTTCTTCCTTTAATTCAGAAAGTGACTGAAGAACATCCACAATGCTTAAGACCGCACAGCCGTAAGGGCGTCGGTAGTGTAAGTGCGCAGGACCTTTCTTAGAATCATTCAGCAGCATACGACCTAGAAGATGTCAAAAAACACGATTCAATCCAGTTTCAGCTTTCACTTATGCCATCTGATAACTGATTTATGGACACACATATTTGGGACATAAGGTATCAGAGAACATTAGAACCGGATGGGACTGCAAAGATCTCCTTGACCAGGAATTGGTGAACTTTTCATATAAAGCCCCAGGCTTTGAGGGCCAAGAGGCAAAATAGAGGATGTTATACAACAAGACAGAAAGTAAATTTCTACAAATTTTGTTGGTCAAATTAATAATAATTTTTTTAAAAAGTATTTTTTTTTGGTAATACAGGTCCACTAATGAGAAGAATGGAATTCTTTTTTTTTTTCTGGTGGGGAGATAACATTTCATTTAACTGAGGTTCAAAGTTAGTGTTCCCTATTATCAGAACTGATTACAAATGTCATCTCTTAATGCTGATCTGTATGAGATTTTACATATTTCATCGTTGCAAATGTCTTTTCACACAGGTAAGTACTGACAAATTGTGGTATCAATACACAAGCATATTATTTTAATGGAACATATTCATAGCTTGCAAGGTATTTATAGATTTCTATATTCAATATTCTTTGTAGTATGTCAAGCAGCAGTGGAATGCAATGAGAACACCACCTACGGTCTCGGTTGCTCCTGTGTAACTCTGCCATTGTGGTATAAAAGCAGCCATAGATAATAGGTAAATGAATGAGTGTGGCTGGGTTCCAATAAAATTTTATTTATGGACATTGTAATCTGAATTTCATATAATTTTCACATATCATGAAACAGTATTCTTCTTTTAATTTTTTCAATCATTAAAAAAAAAATGTAAAACCCATTCTAAGCCCGTAGGCTGTCCAAAAGCAGGTGGCAAGCCAGATGCGCCAACCCTTATTGTAATAGTAATAATATTAATAATAATGAACGCTAACTTTATTGTAGTGCTTGCTATGTGCCAGGCACTATGCTAAGCGCTTTACAATTATTATGATCCTCACAATAGCCCTGAGAGGGCAGTGCTATTATTATCTCCATTTTACAGATGAGGAAACTGAGTCAAACAGAGGCAAAGTGAGTTGCTCAGGGTCACACAGCTGGAAAGTGTCTGAAGTCAGATTTAAACTCAGGTTTTATTCCAGGCCTAGGTCTCTGTCCCCTGTGACACCTAGTTGCCCCAGTTCTAGTCAGAACTAGACTGACTAGTTTCATTTGACTGTTGAAGAAAATGAGTTCTATGTAAGGCAGCTGACTTGTCCAAGGTCACAAAGGTTAATTAGTGGCAGAGCCAGAACTATAACCTAGGTCTCCTAAAGACCAGGCCAATGTCCTTTCAATTACACTTGGATTTTCGACGTATCAGACCTTGCTTACACTCCATTTTAACTTTATTCCTTGACAATACAAAAATCTGATTACGTGTGGATTTTATAGAAATGTGTACACTGGGAATGTTAAAAGATTTATATTAGTAATCTAAACTTTAGTATATTGGCCATGTAGCAATTTTATATAAGGATGAGGATGACAACTTGCACTTCTTAGCCAAAGTTATTTGATCCATATCATACTTCAGGGGATTGAGCCAAATCCTCGCTCTACCTTAATGTGAGGAAGGGAAGTCTTCAGTAAGCAAAGCGATGTCGGGTTTTTTGCTTACTGTAGCTGCCTGTACAATGGCAAGAGAGCATTCACATAATCACAAAATATAGGTTGCTGTTATTTCTCCATTAAGTAAAGTCCAATTGTCCAAGCAGAGTAAGTAGACCTTTGTTTTGGTAACAAGAAGTTGTAAAACACTTGCCTGTATGAATGTATAAATACCCTGCACCAGTCAGTTGTAATCAACTAGTGCTATTTCTTTCTAAAAAAATAAATTAATTTTTTTCGACGAACAAAAATCTATCATTTCTTTTTCCTTCCTCCTTTGCACGTTCCTTCAAACTAGTGCTATTTCTTATTTGTTGAGTTAGGAATAAAGGTTTCACTTTTTGAAGGCATAGTGATTAATCCTTTTGGTCTTAAGTGACCTTTAGTATTCATGCCGTTAATTCTGTCGTATTCTAATAAATTTGTCATAGTACCTCTGGGAATGTGTGTGGGGTGGTAGCTGAATCAGGTTTGGGAATGCTGTTTAAGAAGATAATGAGGTCTAGACTGCTGGAAAGAACACCATTGCCTCCACTAAAAGAGAAAATGGGAAGAGGGCTCATATGTGCTATCATAGTTGTTCAGTCTATGGCCAAGGCCATAGATGCAACATGATTCAAGGGAAGGGAAAGAAGACATAGGCTGACAGGGAGGACAAAAGTAGAGGTGCAGGATTCATGACCTTGAGATATTTATTCTAAAAAGTTGATAATTTTAATGGATAAGGCATACAGTACCTATTCGGATCACATGGGCAACTATGTATAAATCTCTCTTCATATCTTTGCTGCTCAGATCCTAAGAAAAGAGAAAAACATTTAAGCAAACCCAATGCATCAAGTACATACAAAGAACTGAAAAGTTATTTTTTTTTCAGTTTTCAAGTATGGTAGCTGATTTTTGTTACATTTTGCATATGTTATAAATAGATAAATTTAAGGCATAAAGGTAAGTACTATTTTACAAATATCAAAATTCCTATGTTCAGGTTACTGGTATATTTTAGGATGTTATATACTTGGTGTGGTATCTGTAGGGTTCAAATATAACAATACCTAACAAATTAAATATATACAAGAAAGCTTCTCTCCCATTTGCAAAATGGGAGAGTATTGGAATCAATTATAGCCTTGCTCTATCTTACAACTGTATTTTCAATTGAAGTTAAGAGACTGAACACTTTCTTACAGATTACCTAATGCTTAAATGTGTAATAATAATGAAAATAAAGCAACCTATTCCAACACGCACCGATAAATATGCAGGGGGAAAGATGGGCTACATCTGAGTTACATAGATGCATCCTCAAGAAAATATCTCCAGATATATGGGGCATCGGAACACAGATAACAACTTTACAAATAGTAGAACTTCATTAATTTGGTCACCTATGGTTTGCAATCAGTATTTTATGTGCAGTATTTTAGATACAGTAAATGTAATTTTTCCAAGTAAAAATCTTGAAAACAATCTTGTACCTTTTTAGAGATTTACTTGCAAGAAGAATTTATGGTCCAGAATTTATGTCTTTCGAACATAAGTTTAGCAATTGCCTGTTGTATCATAAAGTCCATTTCTATTTATAATTTATTTTTAGTGAAACAGAGTACTATATAGTTTAGGATAATCTGTTTATGCCTTACTTATGTACTATGCTTGAAAGCAAAAACTTTGTTTTCAATCCTCTCTAGTGCAGGCTTTTTATTAAGCCGGCCTGGCCTGTCCCCATTTATTTGGACTCAGTAGGGCATGACTGATTTGACCTTCCTGAATGTAAAAGATTTTCTTGGTTTTTCTTTTGTTCTCTAAGCTACCCTTTCTCCGTCTCTTCATCTGTGACCTTTGGACTGGTTTGAGATGAATCTCACTTTTGCTGAACAGGCAAGATAGGAGGGCAACCCGAGTGGCTCAAGTGCTCATTTATTCTAAATAAGCAGGGCTTTCAACAGGAAGTGTGTAAAAAATAAAGTCTAAGTAGTATATGCAAACTGAATGTTTGCAAGAAAACAATTTCAGATGCACATTAGGTGGGAGAAGTCTCAACCTCCAGGGTTATTTTTAGTATTCTTTCGGATGAACATGAATGAATGAAAGAAGAATTCTAATTTAAAAGCAATGTAGTTCTACTAGAGTGAAGTGTTCAGATTCCAGACAGTTATTTAGTTTTCCTGGGTACCCAAGAGGATAATCCAGCATACTTATATTAATGCAGAGATTATTAACAGATATGAATAATATTGGGATATAACTGGGACCAAGGGTCCCACTAGTTTTTTTTTAATAGAAAATATATCAAATAAAGGCTACAGATAGTTAATATCTATGCTAACTGGATGATGATGATGATGGTGATGATAACATTTATATAGTACTTACTATGTGCTAAGCACTTTGCAATTATTATCTTATTTGAACTTCACAACAACCCTGGGAGGTGGTTGCTATTATTGTCTCCATTTTACAAATGAAGAAACTGAGGCAAACAGAGGTTAAGTGACTTTCCTAAGGTTACACAGCTAGTAAGTGTCTGAAGCCAGATTTGAATTCAGGTCTAACTGGATGATAATTGCATGTTTGCAGAGAAGCTTCAACCTTAAGGAGGGTGAAGTATATTACATAGTTAAGTAATATTTACTGATTGGTTGTCAACTCTACTTTAGCTAAGAAATTCGACTAGAAGACTCCTTGTAAGGAGAACTGTATTTGATCAAGGACTAAGTGGGACAAAAGCGTCAGAATGAAGGAAAAGAAGAGAGGTTACTTTCGTATGCCTTGCAGGGGTGTGTAGGGAGAATTGCATTTAACATGACATAGTTCCTTGCAAGGATCAACAATGCTGTTAGGCTTGGAATCTTGGTAGGCTACATGCTAATTGGCAAATAAGGGTTTACTATATGCTTTTTCCATGAAATATCCAAGTTACTCTGTGGGTCATGAGCACAGGAAGTGGTAAGAGCTAACAAATAACAACAGTAATTACCGTACTGATAAAACAAGTAGTGAAATTCTTACACCTCTGTGGAAATCCTTTTTATTGATGTAATCTTTTGTGTGAAAAATAAGGGCATTTTGGTCTCCTTTCATTATTATTTCTTTTTAAAAAATAGAATTCATATTTGAATACCCATTAAGATTACTATGAAATATAAAACACCAAATAGCAAATCAATTTATTGCTAAATTTCAGATGACATAAATAGACATTAGGCCGCTGTTTCGAGGTACAATTGAGATGGACAGAGTATTTTCAAATGAGATGGTTCCTGTTGGGTTTAGGTTAATATAATTCAAGCTACCACAAAAGCCCAATATTATTCATACTAATTTACCTCTCTGTGTTTATAGTCCTATAGCAGATTACCATAAAAGGGCACATAATAACCAGATATTCCATGTACACTCACATTGGAATTTTCCCACTGTTGTTGCTGGTTATTAATTATAATAAAGAAGATTCAAATGTAATTTAACATTGAATGAAAGGTACTTATAATGTTTTTTTTAAAGTGACTGAGTAGGATTCCTGTCTAGACCACACTGTATATCAGGATGGTACTTAATAGGTGTTAATAACGATAAAAGTAATAACAAAATTTTTTTTTGGCAAATGTAAATGAAAATTGCTGTAACTTAGTTTCGCAGTACATTAAACTTCCAATGTAAAAGCTATTTTATTAAATGTCAATTAAATGCACAGTTAAACATAATTTTGGGTTGATAAAAACATTGCTCTTTGATAGTGAGTATCAAGTATGATTGATAATATTACCATTTAAGAGACAAATGGAAAACAAGGGAAGGAAGGAGGACACAGGAAAGTCAGTATTGTCCAGACCTAGAGTCTCATACTTGGTGAGTAGCTTTTGAACTAAACATATAGCAAATTTGAACTTCTATCCAAATCACAAAGAATCAGGGAGTCTAATCCTCTGCCAGAGGGGCAGAAGGTGTGTGTGTGTGTGGGGAGAGGGCAGAACAATTTGATGTAATGGAGAGAACATGGAGCTCAATTAGGGTATACTCTGAGGTGTTAGAAATACAGTTAGCTTCCCTAAACCTTAGCTTTTACTTATTTCCTAGGGATGGCATGAAGATTTTTAACAAAATAAAATAATACCAATATTTTAAAAAAATAACTCCACAGAAAAAGGTAAATATAACTATGTAATGATATAATTACAGAAACCATCAAGTTGGATTCCCAACTTCAACTAATAATAGTGCAAAATTTTATCATTTGGGTTTGAACTCAAAACTGTTACCAAAGTAAAATGCATTATATGCATATGTATCTATGTCTTATTTACATATACATAGTCACTCGTACTATACATCATGAAGAGTGGGAAAAAAACCCCACAAAATTGGCATTTTTTTAGAAACTTAAGCAAATTTAAAATTCCTTGGAAAGATTTTTCCTTTTATGGAGAAATTCTAAAATCTAATGAACCTGGAAAAGGGAAAGAATTTCCAGAGAAAGAGAATTCTGTGATTCATAAATTATAGTTTATAAATTATAAATTAGAAGAAATTCTGAATAGGAGCCATTTGTGATGGATAAAACTAACACATACAGATTCTAATAGAAAAGCTAAAATCTGTGTGAAGAGAAATAATAATAGCTAATTATTGAGTTTTCAGGGCTTGTCTACATTACTCATTTTCTGTGTCTACACTATAGGAATTTCATTAGGCACTTTTACATTTCTAGGACATTGACTTTAAAGCTCTGTAACATATATGGCAATCTCAAAATGTCCTCTTTTGCTTGTAGTACAGAAACAGGTTTCTAGTTAGTTGATAAGGTAGATTTTAGCCAAAGTAATGGCTCTGTAAAGCTGGCAGTCATGTTTAAGGATCCCATGTGTACCACAAAAAGAAAAAAATATGTTAGGCACTTTTACAAAAAAGTGCCAACAGCAAAACCAGCCCCAAGCTCAGTCATTGTGGATAGTGCACAAAAGAAATAAGTTAATGAGAATTTGGAACATCCTGGAGAATAGGAGGGAACAAGAATATTCATGATTCATTGATTTTTTTTCATTGGAACTGGAATCACTAATTCAATACTTTTGTGTATATACATGTGGATACTGGAACATGGGCTTGGATTCACACACATAATTGAAAATAGAAATTATCTGTAAAATGAAATGCTCAGTATTTTATAATCACATTCAAATGCCTGTCACAATAAAGTTTATTAAAAAATCAGTCATTGAGTATGAGGATAAGCTCAATGGGAATACACTCAAATATCTATTTCCATGATGCTAAAGAACCCCAAGTCAAAGACTTTTTTTGTGATTTTTATCAGGCAAGGTCAGAATGTCAGAAATCTTCAAAGTATTGCCCATTTTGTTCACCTCCCTGTCTCTAAATAGAACTACTCTAAATTATTCAAGACACTTGTGTGTCTTCTTCCTACCTCTGTCTACTCTAGTAGCCGACTTTGGGCAAACCTTTCTGGTGGCTGAACCCAAATCTTTTAAGATGCTCTTCTTTTTTCCTTTCCTTTTTTTCTTCCTTCCTCAGTGAGAATAGGAAATTGCTCACTATTCTCACTTTCTTTTCTCCTGAATAAGTAATTGCAATTTTCCTTCTGCTTTTCTTATAGTTCCTATTTTCCTGCCCATTTCTCTTACTGAATACTTTCCTATTTCTTAAAATATTGAACTCAAATGGAGACATATTACATCATTTTGACTTATTAATTTGAAATATTTTCATATATTTGGGGAATTTTCAATATGCTTACTCTCCTCAATGACAGGTGCTGCTGACTCTGTAATAGACAAGCTATTGTACTACTTTTTGACCTTTGAAGAAAATAGCAAAATGAATAAAATTCAGGTGGAAAAAAATGCAATTTTTTTTTCTGTAAGATCCAGGTCACATTCAGGTCTGTGAATTACTGCCATATACATTTAAGATGTACACACAGAGTTTGAGGATGACTAACGCTATTTATATCGGGATAATACTGCAAACTAAACAGAAGGGTAATCAAGGTGGGAAGCACTACAGTATCTTTGGATTAAGTGGGTTTTCTCTAAAATCACATAGTATTGTCCAAGGACAGAGTATCAACAATAATCAAAACTCTATCAAAACCTTGCACTCTCTCTCTCTTTTTTTTTTTTTAGCAAATCAATGAATTACTCAAGAAAATGAAGCACATTAGCTATTCAGTGCATAAATAAATGGTGAACACATGAGAAGAAGCTTGGAGAATGTCTTGGCAGTTTCCTGATGGCAGAAACCTAGAAATGTTTTTCTAATGAGAACCTCACTGTGTCCCTCACTGTGCTGACATTTCTAGGATGCTGGAGCTTCAGAAGCAAGAGTCTTAAAAGTAGTTATTCTGAATAGGAGCCATTTGTGATGGATAAAACTAACACATACAGATCCCAATAGAAAATGGTCCCAGTATTTGGTAGTTTTAAGAAAGTAAATTCAAGTGGATAACTTTAGAAGACATTTGTAATTCCAGGTTAAAAATATAATAAAAAAAGATCACCCCCCCTCTAATTTTAAGTGTTTAGTTTATACAGTGTATAGCAAAACTTAAAAATCAGCCAAAAGGCACTTGAAAGTATTTAATCACACAAATTCAATTAAAACATGTAGTTAATTGCAATCTTCTTTAAACATTTCATTATTATCCGTCAGAAACATACAACTAGTCTTATTTGCTCTAGTGCGTAGAGAAAGAAAAATTATATCAATTTTCAGGGTAACAACATCCACAAACCAAAGCCCTTGGTCAGAAATGGCCCAGTCCACAGTGTAGCAGGGAAAGAGAATTCTCACATACTGTAAAAAGGGCACACATTCGATCTATCTTCTCTGGGTTCCTTGGCCCACCATTCTTGTTCAGTCTCACCAGAAACCGCTCACTGAAATGTAGGAAAAAGAGAGAGAGAGAGAGAGAAAGAGAGAGAGAGAAAGAGACAGAGAAATATGAAGGACCACAAACTGCAGAACAAAGACCAGGGCATGTATAAAGAATAATGTATAATCTCAGAAATCCTAAACACTCATGGGATTGCACTCAGTGTTAGGTGGGAAGGGGACAATGTGGATGTAATGTCTTATTAGACATGGCAGACAGGCAGAGTTATCTGGTGGAGAGATTTGGAATTTTTAAGTCCGGAGAGATCTTGCCCTAACGCTGGCTCAGACGCTAGTTGTGTGACCCTGGATGATTCATTTAACTTTTGAGCCTTATCTGTAAAATGGGGATAATCTTTCTAATATCTTTTTCACAGGACTGATGTACTTTCCACATCTTAAGTTTTATAAAAGTGTCATCATTGTTAATAAAAACAAAACAGTGGTAGTGATGATGACATCATTTCAAACACTTTTTTAAAAGCACAGAACCAAGTCTTGTGTAGGATAAACATGTGGATGCATTTTAAAAAGGCACTATTATTTACCATTTAATGTGTATGTCTTGTCTCCCTAATAGGGTTATAAGTTTCTTGGGAGCAGGGATCTTGAGTCATATTTCACCTGTACCCCCCCCCCCCCAAAGACCGAACTTCAATGTTAAACACGGAGGAGTCACTAGGATACTTTGAACTGAGTCAGGCAGTGAGCTCATCACAACAAAAGAAAGCAATACATGCTATAGCCCATCCAGGAGAATATAAGATCCAGTAGAATATAGGGTATCCCCAAAGTCTTAGTGCGGGTTTAAGTTTTAAAAGCTTTAAGACCCACTTGAGTTTTAATAACTTAAACCATCACTAAGACTTTTGGGATGCTCTGTATAAATAAGCTCCCTAAAGGTATTTCATTTTGTCTTTGAAGTGCCCTGCTCTGTGTGTGTGTGTGTGTGTGTGTGTGTGTGTGTGTGTGTGAAAGAGAGAGAAGTATGGACATGTGATTTCATGAGGATAGGGAACTCCCAGAGTGAAAGTCCCTTCACTGATGAAAACTATCAACTTCTCTGCAATGTACAATTTTAGAATATATTCAGGGCAATGAGAGATTAAGTGACTTTGCCCCTCTTGCCTGGCCTCCAGGCCCATATCTCTCACTACCTGCTAGACATCTTCACTTTAATGAGCCATGTAGATATCTCAAATTCAACATAGCCAAAAGAGAACTCATTGTTTCTCCCCCAACCTACTCTTCTTCCTATCTTCTTTTGGTAAAGGGCAACACCAAGGTTCATAACCTATGAGTCATCCTTAACTCTTCTCCAACACTCCCCACTCACTAATCATTTGAGTAGTTGCTAAGTCTTGTTGATTTTCCCTTCCCAACATCTCTTGCCTTTGTCCTCTGGTCTCCAATCACCACCACAATCCCCTTGGTTCAGGTTCTCATCAGCTCTTGCCTGGACTATTGAAGCTTCCTTAGATGTGTCTCCATCTCAAGCCTCTACTTTCTAACATGGCCTGCTGACAGCTGCCAAAGGGCTACTCCAAGAGCTCGGGTCTGACTAGATTACGCCAATGGTCAAGAAGCTTCAGGGGCTTCTTCTCCCCTCTAGGATAAACTACCAACTTTCTTTTTGACATTGAAAGCCCTCTCAGTTTGTCACTAGGCAGTCACACCATTCCCCTCACTCCATTCGTAGCAGCCTCCTTGCCATTCTCTGTGCCCTGCATTGCCTTTTCCCAAGCTCCCTCCTATTCCCGGAATGCTCTCGCTCTTCACTGTGCCTCTTGGGACCCCATTTCCTGTCAATGCTTAGCTCAAGCGCCACTTGCTTCAAGAGGCCTTTTCTGGTTCCTGTAGTTAGTGCCCTGCCCCAATTGTTTTGCATTTATTTGTATATATTCTGTATTTATTTATTTGTGAACATGTGATATATCCCTTAGGGGCAGCTAGGTGGCATAGTGGACGGATTGCTGGGCCTGGAGTCAGGAAGACTCCAGGCTCAGATATTTACTAACTGTGTGACCCTGGACAAGTCACTTAACCCTGTTTGTCTCAGTTTCCTCACTTCAGAAATGAGCTGGAGAAGGAAACGGCAAACCACTCCAGTATCTTTGTCAAGAAAACCCCAAATGAGGTCACAAAAAGTCAAACATGACTGAAAAATGACTTAACAACAAAGAATACCCCTAGTAGAACATAAGACCATTGAGGGTTGGAACAACCTCTTTTGGATTCTATTGCCTAGCGCAGCTTAGCACAAAGTAGGCACTTCACTGATTAACTGATTCTGGACTTCTACCTACCATTCTTCTACCGGCTCTTTTACCCACCACATCATACTGCCTTTTATGCTGCTCTGCACACAGGAAGGACTTAATTGAATTACCTACATCACATCCTCCCTTACAGAGCCACATAAGATCTGTAAGGGGGAAAAATTAGTGAGGAATCCTATAGAAATGGATGTCATGTTGAGAGTGGAAAAGGTAAAAACACAAAGCGTGAGGAAAAACTAATTAGTAGAATGCTTAGTCAGAGTAGAGACACCAAAAATCTTATCACACAAAGTAATCCATATGCTTTTGGTTGGAAGTTGATAAGCATTTTAAATACCTTGTGGAACTATGTCAACATATTTTATTTTGGCTAAGCAGAACTATGGAAAGAGTGCTGGACTTGGATTCGAGAAACCTGAGTTCAAATCCAACCTGAGATACTTACTAGATGTGTGACCTTGGGCAAGTCACTTAACCACTGTCTGCCACAGTTTCTTCATTTGTAAAATAGGGATGATAATAGCACTTACTTCCTAGGGCTGTTGTGAGGATCAAATGAAGTAACATTTGTTAGGTGCTCTGCAAACCTTAAAACACTATGTAAAAGCTAGCTGTTATTATTAAAATCATCATCTCTATTCTCTCCTCAAGTTTATGCTCTATTAGTAAAACCTCAATATTTCCATGATCTATGTTTTCCTTGATGTGGATTCCCTCTCTCCTAATGCATATCTTAAGTATAATAGTCTTCATGAATTGCTGAAAAAGACATCAGTCTGTAGCAACCTGGTGATGGGTAATGGACTTCTCTGAAATTAGCCAGGATGGTACTTAGGCAGCAGATATACAGTCCATTGATGAAATGAAGGGGCGAGATTAGATTATCTCTAAGATCACTTCCAGGTCAAACCTATATTACAAGCATTAGAGTGATTTATTTTTCCCTTGATCCTCCCATCATGTACTTGTAGTTTGTATGATAACTGAATGATAGGTATTGCAAATACTATGCTAGGATGACAAAATCTCTTGTAATTTTACTGTAAAGGTTGCTATGGAAAAAGGAAATGGGAATAGTAAAAGCGTGAAAGAATCATGGTTACAGGAGGGGTGGGAAGTCAAAATATAAGGAAAACTGCAAAGGCTGTGTGTGCCGGGAGCTCCAGTTCATACTATATAATAAAGATGAATGGAACAACTGGCCCTGGCCGCCTACAGTGCTGGTACTAAACCATTAGGATGCACTCTCTGTTCAAAGCACAGGAGTTCCACGCGGTGGGAGGCGGCTCCTGTTGACCTGATTCCAAGACACGGCCCCCACCAGATTCACTGCAGCTACATTCAGCCAAGGCTCTAAATTTGACAACTTTCCAACCTAATTTCTCCCTAATGGCAGAGAAGTGGGGGACCACTAGGTCAGAATATTTGATGCAACGGCAGATAAAATCACTTATGGGATGTTTTTGGTTTTTTCCTTTGGCACGAAGGAATCAATCTGGAGGTGGACTGGGAAATGTTTGTGAAATAAATTTAAAAAGTCATCAACAAGAAATATTAAAAATCCCCAGAAAATGGGAAAGCCTTAATAGAATTAGTAAAATGAATTCAGCCAACTCAATAACAATAAATTAATTCTTTAATCTGCTTGACATTTTAATTCCTAGATGCCCTCTAGACTGCAAGTGTGTGACCTAGAAATTCGGGGGCAGCACACATTTGTAAAAGGAACAAATGAAAGTCTTGCAAACATTGGTCATTTAGGAGCTTTAAACATTTTTCTTTTTAATGTTGAAAAGATAAGGTGAATTTCCATTATTAGAGACAAGCTTCTCAATTGTCTCTCCCAGCTCGGAACAGTAAAGAAAGTGATTCAGACAAGTGTTTTTCAATGGGGCACCAAAGAAATAACCAAGAACGTTGTGGTTTTGGTGGTGGTGGTGGTGGTGGTGGTGGTGGTG